CAAAACCCAGTTAGTGTTTGTACATACAAGTAACAAATGAACTGACAAAGAAATCAAGGAAATGATACTTTTCACAATAGCTTAAAAACAACAACAACAACAAACTTGGGTAACTCTAGCCAAGCAAGTGAAAGGCTTGTATGATGACAACTTTAAGAGATTGTATAACGAAATTGAAAAAGATATCAGAAGACGGAAACAAGCCCATACTTATGGACTGGTAGGATTAATATAATAAAAATAGCCATCCTACCAAAAGCAATCTACAGATTCAAAACAATCTCTATCAAAATCTCAACATAATTCTTTACAGATCTCGAAATGCCAATTTTCAGCTTCATGTGGGAACATACACAAATAAACAAAACAAAAAGAAAACAAGCAAACAAAAAGTCCAAACAGGATAGCTAAAGCAATTCATAATATTCAAAGAACTGCTGGCGGTATTATCATCTCTGATCTCAAGTTGCAATACAGAGCTATAGTAACAAGAATACCGTGATGTTAGCATAAAAACAGACACATTGATCCATGAAATCTAGTTAAAGACCCAGATATAAGTCCAAACACCTATGAATACCTGATTTTCTACAAAGAAGTCAGAAATATATACTGGAAAAAAGACAGCATCTTGAACAAATGGTGCTGGTCAAACTGGATGATTTCATATAGAAAAATGTAAATACTTCCATATTTATTGCCCTGCACAAAGGTCAACTCCAGCTAGATCAAGGACCTCAACATAATACTGGATACTCTGAATCTTACAGAAGAGTAAGTGATTAATAGTCCTGAACTCATTGGCAACAGACAACAATAGCACAGGCACTAAGATCAACAGTTAGTAAATCAGACTTGGTGAAACTGAGATGCTTCTGCATGACAAAGTACACCATCATTCAGACAAAGTGGCAGACTACACAGTGGGAAAAGATCTTTAACAATTACTCACCCAACAGAGGGTTCATATAGAAAATATATAAGGACTGAAAACAACAGCAAAGGTGTTCATCAAGAAAATAAATAACCATAAAACAATTGACAGCTCATGCTGGAAAGGATGTGAGAAGGGGGGACCCTTAGCCATTGTTGGTGAGAGTACAAACTTATAAACCCAGTATGGAAATCAGTGCTCTGATCTGAGAATTGATCTATCTCAAAATCCATGTATACTATTCTTGGACATGTACAAAAAGGACTCTACCTTCCACTGAAGACATACTTGCTCATCCATGTTCATTGTTGCTTCATTCATAACAACTAGAAACTGGAAACAACCTAGATGTCCATCAATGGGTGAACTGATAGTGAAAAAGTGGTACATTTACACAATGGAATATTACTTAGCTATTAAATGCTGGGGAGTGTCTTTCCGTATGCTGTGAATATATGCTGTTCCCATTGGCTAATAAGTAAGCTGCTTTGGCCAAAGCAGCTTAGAGGCAGGTGGGAAATCCAAGGAAAGAGACAGGAAAGAGAAAGGCAGAGTCTAGAGAGAGATGCCAGCTTGCCACTCAAGGAGCAATATGCTAGCAGACTGCTAAAGGCAAGGAACATGTGGCAAAACATAGATCAATAGAAATGGGTTAATTTAAGACATAAGAGCTAGCTAGCAAGAGGTCTGGCATAGACTATACAGTTTGTAAATAATATTAAGCCTCTGAATGATTATATTTATAAGTGGCTGTGGAACTATGGGGACGGGTGGGACTGGAGAAACCTTCCAGCTACAAAAGGTAGAGTGGGGGAGAGACCAGACTGCCATCCTAGGAGCAACATGTAATGGGGTGCAGGTAAAGCTACAAAACATGTGGCGATACATAGATTAATAGCTATGGGTTGAATTAAACTGTAAGAGCTTGCTAGCTAGAGGCCTGCCATAAGCCATACAGTTGATAATATTAAGCCTCTGAATGATTATTTTATAAGTGGTTGAGGGACCGTGGGCTGGGCAGTACCAGAGAAACCTTCTGGCTACATTTGACTGTTCAACATGGAGCAAGAGTTTCCACCTAAAACCTGAGAGGACTTAAAAAGAGATTTTAAAATATTTAATGTATAATTAAGAAATACAGATGAATAATTAGTCATCTATGATAACCACACTTATGGTCATGTTAGGTAAATTTTCTAAGTATACATAGATATATTTCAATTAGGTAGGTAATCTTCAAATACTTCAAAGACCTACAGAATATGGCATTAAAAATGTTTTAAAAACTTAAACTTTCTGGACAGTGAGACATGTCTGCTCCTGGCAACACCGATTTACTTTAAAGAAGATGATGGACATCGAAGACTCTCTATATGGAGTTTGCTTTCCTTGTGGCAAAAGATAGCCATTTGGGCAAGAAACTGTTCTTACCAGGACTGCTTAATAAAATGTTATATTGACTGTACATACAGGACCATGGGAAAATGACCACTAAATTTTGCCAAAACTAGGTGAGATGGTCACTCACATTCCTGCTTTGCAGAGGAGACTTCTAGGTATTCTACATGGCACAGGGAGAAGCAACTGAGAAACACTAACCTGATAGGCTAAAGATGATGCCCCAACATTACTGAGGAACTTTGGGTAACTGTCCAGGCAGCCAGCTGTCTCTGTCATTCTAGATTATTGGAAGTTGCTTACATTGCACTTCCTGTCTACTTAGGTGATATTATATCCTTCTGAGGTTTTTGATGTAGTTGAAAACTAGATGGTTATAATTTTCCTTGGTTCTGCTAAAAGATAAATTAGATATGAAACTTTAGACTCACAAATATAGGATAGATGGTAAAATATTTAATTTTGCCAAATATAAATAGACTAGATATTGTGACTTTAATTCTTGCTTGATAACTCTTTGTCATATATAATTTTACTATATTACAGCTAAAACCTCACTTTTTGATTAGATAGAAAAAGGGGAAGTGCTGGGGGATGTCTTTCTGTAAGCTGTGAATAAATGTTGTTCCCATTGGTTAATAAATAAGTTGCTTTGGCCCATGGGAAATCCATGGTGGGAAATCCAAGGAGAGAGACAGGAAAAAGAAAGGCACAGTCTAGAGAGAGACACCAGCCTGCCACCCAAGGAGCAACATGCCAGCAGACCAGTAAAGCCATGGAACATGTGGCAAAACATAGATTAATAGAAATGGGTTAATTTAAGATATAAGGGCTAGCTAGCAAGAGGCCTACCATAGGCCACACAGTTTGTAAATAATATTAAGCCTCTGAATAATTATTTTATAAGTGGCTGCGGGATTTCAGGGCCGGGGACTGCGGGGCTGGGTGGGACTGAAGAAAACTTTCGACTACAGTTAAGAAAAATTAAATAATGAAATTTTCAGGTAAATGGATAGAGCTAGAAAAAGAATCATCCTGAGTGAGGTAACCCAGACCAAAAGAGGACACATATTGTAGGTTTTCTCTTACATCTGGATCTTTAAGCCTTTGATAGGAGTGCTATAATACATATAACCACAGAAGTTAGGCATTGAGTTAGGGGTAAGGGGTAAGGGAAGGGGGTGTATTAATTATGGTTACTATTTCTGTGATGAAACACCATGACCAAAAGCAAGTTGAAGAGGAAAGTGTTTATTTGCATTATACATGCATATCCTAGGCACTTGTAGGAAGTCAGAGTAGGAACCTGGAGGCAGGAGCTGATGCAAAGACTTACTAGCTTGATCCACATGGAGCTGATGCAACTGCTTACTAGCTTGATCCACATGGCTTGCTCGGCCTGCTTTCTTATAGAACCCAGGACCACCAGTTCAGGGGTGGCCCCACCCACAATGGCCTGGGGTCTCCCACACAAATCGCTTATTGAGTAAATGCCCTACAGACTTGACTATGACCCAATCCTATTGAGGGATTTTTCTCAATTTAGGCTCCCCTACCTCCAATAACTCTAGCTTGTCAAGTTGACATAAAACTAGCCAGCACTGAGGATCTCTCAGTGAATGAGAAATAGGATATATAGTTATGACTGAACAAGGGGGAGACTGGAGCAGGAGGATTAAATAGGGAGAGGATGGAAGAAAGGGTTATGAGAGGGAGTACATAGAGAAGCAACTTACACTAAGGGTCATTTGAAGGGTCATATGACAATCTTCTACTGTAGAAGCTTCTTAAAATATATACACATTTGAAAGAAATCTAAATGGAGTCACCAAGTAATAGGAGAGACAATGCCCTATGCAGACATCTTTCACCATCAAATGAAACATTTGGTGCCAGGAATGGGTAACATCTAGTTGAGTCATTGGTCAAAGAGACCATATGGAAACCTACCATCTCAAGTTATTGCCAAGCCTATTGATGTCTCTCTGCAACTCAGTTATAAGGCCCTGTTGCTGGAGACAATACCTACATATCTCACTGAACACAGAGAAGTCATGCTAATGACTAACTAAGCCTTCATCCCTACTAACTAGTATTCATGGTACTACACTCTACCAGAGGAGAAATGTTAACACCAGCCCAGCTCCAAACTATGAGATTTACAGCAGTGACCTGCCTACATGATATGCTGGCACAATAGTGGCACAAAAATGTTGGAGGAGTAACCAACCACTGTCTGATTGGATGTAAATCCTACCCCATGAAATTGAATCTATGTATGACATTGCTTGGTTAGCCAAGTACCTGAGACTAGATAGGTCATGGACCTAGGGGGAAACCAGATAACATGGTCTGCTAAAGGAGAAAAGCAATCAAATACTCCTAATGGCATTCCAGATCAGTGCCTTGCTCAGCCATCATTGGAGAAGCTTCTTTTTGCAATAGATGTGAACTAACACAGACACCCACAGCTGGACCATGTGCAGAGGGTGAGAAATTTTGGAGCACTCAGTCCTCAATGAGGTGTTTTCATAAAATCCCTCCCGTCAGGACTCAGGGAGCTATGCAGAAGAGGAAGCAGAAAGTTTGTAAGAGCCAGAAGGGATGGATGATGCCAAAGAAACCATGTCTTCCAGACACAAAAGGACTGACACACATATAAACTCACCGAGACTCTAGCAGCGTGCATAGGGCCCACACAAGTTCAAGCCAGATGAGATACCAGGCTTTCTGGGATTCGATGTGGGAAGATGTTAGACAACAGTAGAAAGGAGAAATCTCTGATTACATTGGTAATTCTCCTTGTCTCCTGTCATGTCCAGAAATACTGTCCACAGCAGTCCCCCACTACCTCTGTCCTTTACACACTGTCCCACAGCAGTCCCCCACTACCTCTGCCATTTACACACTGTCCCACAGCAGTCCCCCACTATCTCTGCCATTTACACACAGTCTCACAGCAGTCCCTCACTACCTCTGCCATTTACATACTGTCTCACAGCAATCCCCTGTAGACAGAAGTTTCTGTCCTGCCAGCAGCTCCGAATAAACACACTGAGGCTTATATTAATTATAAATGCTCAACCAATAGCTCAAAGCTTGTTGCTAGCTAACTCTTACATTTAAATTAACCCATATTTCTTATCTATGCTCTGCCATGTACCTTTTCTCAGTACGGCATGTCCATCTTGCTTCGCCCTGCTTCTGCTTGCAACTACCCTGACTCTGCCCTTCTTCTTCCCATCATTCTCAGTTTGGCTCTCCCCTAGCTTTATTGTGTTCAGCTATTGGCCAGTCAGCTTCTTTATTAAACAAATCACAGCTACAAATCTTCACAGTGTACAAAAGGATTACTCCACAGCAGTCCCCCACTACCTCTGCCCTTCCCAGGCTGTCCCACAGCAGTAACCACCACCTCTGCCGTCTATAATCTTTCCACCCTCTCCTCTGTGATGATCTCTAAGACCTGTGGGTGGAAAGTCTGATACAAAGGCTGAGTACTCCACAGTGTCTTAGTCACTGCACTTTAGCCAGTTACATATCTCTTATTGATCACCATTGACTACAAAAGAAGTATCTCTGATGAAGGCTGAAAACTCCTCTAATCTACAAGTATAACAAAAAGTACTGTAAGGATAGTTTGGTTTTATGGAAAGTTTATGTAATTATCCATATGTGGAATCAGATTTTGCTTTCCTCAGCCACTACTTCCCAAATGCTCAGAACCAGGCTGTGTGCATGGATAGGTGATGTGGAGTATGGTTTATGTTAGAGATGCTCTTACTGGTAGACAAGAGCCTAGCTGTAAAATATCTGTCCTTTACCTAGGCATTGCACAGACATTCAGAGGGAGAAATTTCACATTCTACAAATCGTTCTATCAAATAAGTATCCTTGGATACATAAATATGCCTGCCATGCATAGAGAACAGCTTAGCTGTTTATATTAAACTATATGGGCAGTTGATCTAATAACCAAAAGACAGTGTGAATGTGGAAACTTTGTTGCTGAGTGGTGATCAGACTTGGTACATGGCCACAGGCTAGTCTTGTGTTCTGGCATGACTCCATGGTACAGAGGATCCATAATGTGGTGACTGAGATGAACCAGGAACATGGTGGGTAATTGGTGATTTTTGTGTTTTCCATAGTCAGGGACCATCATAAGTTTATTTCTCTAAATATGAGGTTTCCTGATCTGGGAAGTGAAACTAGATGTATAGACTCAGAAGAAGCAGGCTTTGCCTAATCTACCTGTCATGTTCCTCATATTCTGTCATAGGAATCTTAATGTCTTTCCCCTGTTCTCCAGAGTTATGCTCACTAAGACCTTGCATCAACACATCCACTCATGTGACAAATATTTATTGGCATTTGGCTAACTGCCAGAAAGTGATTGATCTTGGAGGTGCAATGGTGAGCAATGTAGACGGCATATGTGATCTGAGCTTCAAAATGGGAGGCATGGGGTGTCCCATGGGAGGAGAATGTCGTGGCCCAAGTGTTCAGGAGGCAATTGCATGTCATAGATGGAAGCTGAGTGTGGTGAACGAGGAAGGAGGAAACTGCTCCAGGAAGGTGTAACAACAGTCATACTGTCAGCATGATTTAAAGACAGGCGGGCCAGGGAGGGAGACATGGCTCCTCATTGGAGAAACATCTTTCCTGATGCCTGATACTGTATGGAGATGTCCTGATGGTTTCAGGACTCAGTTTTCAGTCCTGCCCCAACAACCTTTTTATCAGAAAGTTGAGGATACACTGTAAGAGGAAGTGATCTAGATCCTAGGTGTCTTCCAGTTATGAGAGAGGACTGAGGTGTAAACTGCTGACCCAATGTGGGTTAGAATCATGGAATTGATGTGACAAAAAAAGAAAGATTAAGTTCAATATGAAAACCCAATTTAAGGTTAAGACTAACTGCACTTATTTACGAGTCACTCTGTATACAGTTGCATGAATGAAGAAAGCTTGGTTGATTATAATCTTAGTAAAAGCAAAGGGTGGAATTGCCTGTGCTACATGACAATGGGCCCTTGTTCTTAACAGCTATGCTAAGCCTGATGGAGTTGTTCTTCTTGGCTCTGGCAATGCTTCTTGGGTCCTGTGTTTAGCCTAGGCCAGTGTGCACTAAACATCACATGAAACTGGAATCCTTCCTCATATTTCCAGTAACTTGAAACTGTGTTAGTATTTACTCCACTGAACAGATGGAGAAGTTGACTGATATGTCACTGCTAGAGTCCAAGCTTATGATTATTATGCTCTCAAATTTTGTCTGCTTCCCATGGAAGGAAAGCTACTGTTATATTCTCAAAGGAATAATATATTTATAGTTTCTGTTATTTGAAGTAGCTTCCATTCAGAAAACAAATCAGCCACCAGGTAAAATTTGAGGAATCAAATACAATGAAAATAAACCAGCAATGGAAGATTCTAGTTAGAAATCGGGGTGTGGGGGAAGGAACAATTTGGAAATGGAATGTGTCATTTATCCATGCATATAAATATCAAATTTTATTTTGTGCCACTCATTATTCCTATAATAGGATAGATAATGACAGCCTGGGATAGACAAAACACAGATTCTGGTTATCAAGGAATTGAATTTATAGCACAGAAAAATGCATAGTAAATAGACACATTGTTAAATTATATAACAGATTAAATATACAAGCTGCATTGGAACTAAAGATAATTTAACAATGTAGTCTTGGGGATGATGAGTAAGAAATCATAAAAATGTAAAGACCAAACTAAATGTGTGGGACAGAGGGGCTCACAGGAAGACAGAACTGTGAACCAGAAGCAGTGGGAATGGTGTCCTAGAGTACAGGTTTGAACTCAGCACCATCACTCAAAAAGTTGAGAGGTCTTGGTTTTGGTGATTTTCCTAATACTCAATTCCTGATTTATAAAATGCAGCTAACAAGCTGTACTTTTGGTCTGGATCACAGTGAAGATTAAATGAATATAATTTAAAATATTTCACATATTATCAAACACTAAACATATATTTGCTTCTGGCAGTGAAATATTACCCCTCTGAGGAGAAGAGGAAAGAGGCAATGCTTGGAGAAATGTATGTTGGGTAGGGGAGGCTGGCCACCGAGGGAAGCCAAGTCCTGTCACAAACAGAGCCTGAGTGAGTTAAAGGGATGTAGATATGGGAATTGAGAGAAGCTTCAAGGAGGAAGAATTTAAGGATCGAAAGAACGGAACTAGAGAAGGACAGGGATGAGTGAGTTGGTGTGGAACACAGCTTAGGAAAACTCCAGGTCTAGGAACAATAAAAGATTCATGAGGCAGGAAGTTCATGTGCTTTCCTGAGTGCTCAATGTTAAAGGACAGTGACAGCAGGGTGTGTGGCGGGGCAGCATTGTGAATGTTCATCTGTACTTTGGTCTTGTTTAGCAACTTTGCCATTAGAACGGTTCTCTGGATCAGTTAAAGGAGACAAAATACCACAGTGGAGGCCTTGTGGTCAATTAGGAACACTATTTAATCTTGCAACTGGGTTGGATCCTTAATCAGGCAGGTATCCTGGTTTTACATGGCCTAGAGTTTTGAAAAGGCAGGGCTTAGCAATGTTAATCATCCACTCCCATAGGATTCTTCAGAGGCTTGTTTTGTTCGATTAGTAACCTCAGAGCTGCTTCCAATGTGCATCATCTCATTCCTCTCACAGCAATGCACAGCTTCTCATTTCAGCTCATAGGGTCCAAGCTCTGATACCAAGAATGGCAGAGGGTTTCAGGAGCTTGAGAGGCTGAAGTAATTTCAAGGCATGGCAGATAAACAAACATGGCACACTTTATTTACTGGCACCTAAGCCATTAGAAAAACACATGTGGGCCACACACAGGTAGATACAGACACACACAGGGACCACTGGCACACAGGCCCAAAGACAAACTCTCACTGTTAGGCTGGTGAACTTGAAGGCCTCTACAGAATCTCACAAATGGGGCATTTTTTTTTTTTTTTTTTTTTTTTTTTTTTTTTTTTTTTGGCCAGGAATAGCTGTCTAACAGACTATGTCGTTGTTTATACTTGGGTTCCCCAGACATTCAATGCCAATCATTTTGTGCTGACTCATACCTATCTACCATATTAGTCATCTTGGCCCATGCTAGATACCTGTATCAGCACTATATTGTCTAAATACAAACTGGCCCTATAATAGCCCTCTGATAATACTACTATGGGATGGACTTCTAGTACATGACACAGTATTTAGGAGAATCTCTGATTCCAAAGATGACAGCTGTAATGACCAAATATGTCTCCAAGTTGTTCAGTACTGTCTTCCGGGGACAGAGGAAAGTTACAGGATCCATTTTCCCCTCTTCTACCATTGAACACCACTAAATTAAAGAAACTCAGGTCTTTGCCTCAGGACATTCCCAATGCAAAAGAGTCAACTCTTGGCCTTTCTTCTTTCCCATCCAAACCTCCAGCCATTAAAAATAAAAAGGCTCTAAAATGTAAACAGCATAGCATTAAATACAAATAAGTAGTTACAGAGTTAGGAATCCACAGAAAGCATTTGTTTTTAACCCAAGGGAGCTTCAGGCTTATCATAGAATGATAGATTATTTTATAGTAGATTATTATACATGCTTATATTGATTATATTCATGATCCAGCTATATAACTCTTGAGCATATAGACAAAGTAACTGTGTATTGTAATGCAGAGATAGCTTGTTCATCCATGTTCATTGCTGCTCTATTCACAATCTCCAAGAAATGGAAAAAACCCTAGATGTCTATCATTTGATAAATGGATAATAAAGATGTGGTAAATTTACACAATTAAATATTATTCAACTGTTAAAAAAATAAAATACTGAAATTCACAGGTAAATGGGTGGAGCTAGAAAACACTATACTGAATGAGATAACCCAAACTTAGAAAGGCAAATGTCACATGTCTTCTTCATATGTGAAAGCTAGCTTGAAATCTTTTTTCTTTAAAATTGTCTTTACATAATTAAAATATAATTACACAATGTTCTCCCTTTCCTTTCCTCCCATAAAACTCTCCTATGTGCTCCCTCACTCTCAAATTGATTGCTTCTTTTTAAATTATTTTTACACACACACACACACACACACACACACACACACACACACACACACACACGTATATGTACTGGGACTGGGTTTCCAGCATTCCATTGATCTTTGCACTGTGTCTAGTTGTGGTTTTCAGCAATGGTCTCCAT